ATAGCTTTGCATGGGGACTCATGATGGTGAAAGCCCCACATTAAAGATCTAACCAAACCCACCTTGTTGATCTGCTGCCAACAAGGCGTGTCCATGAAAAACCGAAAAATCAAATCGAATAGATCAATTTAATTTTGGTTTAGAATTTTTGAAAAACTGAAGGATCTGTTCAGTTTTCGGTTAATCTATAAAAACTAGTGTTTAACTGAACCGACCGGTATATATTTATATGTATTTTTAATATATGTCGCATATTTTTTATATATTATATATAAATATATATTTATATTATATACATTATATATTTTTAAAATATTTATAATATATTATATATTTATATAATATATATTATAAATATAAAACACCGAAAAACAGAACCGATAAAAAACCAAAACCAGTGGATCAATTAACCGATGATACCAATTCGGTTTCAGTTTGGAGTAGTAAAAAAATCGATACCACCAATTCCGTTTACAAAATATGTCCATAATTTAGTTAACCAAACCGTGAACACCTCTATTGCCAACAAACACTCCCAATATTATCCCAACTAGTTATTACAGTCGCACAACGTGAACATCTCTCCATAAGAGAGACAGCAGTGGCTTATTCGGAGTCTTTGAACAGTGTGGCTTATATGTGCATGGCCACTGCTCTTCTTTAATTTGATACGTTGCTTTCATGACTGTATTCCTTCACCCTCACTGCTCTTCTTTCTCTTTTTGTTTAGTTCCCAGCATGCGTGCATTAGCTGATGGAAAAGGTGTTTTGTGTTAAAAAGGAGCTGTATTGGCGCATATCGATATCATCAATACTCTTTTTTTTTTAATATTTGAAATGCATGGAAGAGGGATTCTTTTTAGGGAGAATAACGGTTCAGCCCAGGGTCAGAATTTTTAGGTCTAAAGTACAGTTGGTGTAGGTGTCAGCTTGGAATTGATGCCAATTCACGGTGGACATTAGTGTATAGAGTGGAGATTTTTGACATTTTGAATATTTATAGCCCTGCAGTGAAAATTAAAAATCTACATTGGGTCTGTTGGTACTTCTCTATTCACAAATTTTTAAAACCCTTCAATTCTTTTTGTATCGATACATTTCAGGGTCCACTAATGTATATACATAATCCGTGAAGAGGTATTTATAGTATAAGTTTGTTTTCTCTTTCATACAAATTTACAGAAAAAAAAAATTGACTGCATGTGCTATCCACAGGATTCTCCTCTCCTTGTATGACACATTTGTACATATGAACTCCATGCAAACAATAACAAACCTGATAAAAATACTGAACCTCATATTCTTTATGCACTTTTTTCCGTGTTTAAAGGTTAAGGGTTCATAGTTAGAATTGGAATCAGAATCAAAATCCTAATGGCTTATTCCTATAACCCATTTAGTTCAAATGAGAACTGAAATCGGAATTAGAATCAAGTTGAATGGGTTGAATCTCATACCCAAGGGAGGGGAAGAGATGGAGAATGCCATTCCACCAAAAATGGGAATGAAATTCAGAGTCTGTCCAATGAAACAGTTGGAATCGAAATGTGCCATTCCAAACCCAATTCCCGCAATCCAAACGGGCCCTAAAACTCTTTCCTTCCATTCTTTTGATTCATCTGGCAACATTCCATTCCTACATAGCTTGCCTTACTCCTAGCTTGGTTACGTGACTCTCCAGATTGAGTCAACTACCAAGGATGGAACACCGAATCATATTGATGATTTCTTTCTGCATATGATGCAGAGTCAACTGTTGACTTAATCCAGTCTAATTGATTCCTTGAATCAACCAATTTTCCATAGCCAAAGCCATGCATTAGGTGGATGGAAGTCTTTTGGATTGAACAATGAACACTAGCCTTGTTCATAGATAGAGCTCACATCTGCTGTGACCATCGTTGCATGTGACCCCTCCAATAAAATAAAAACACACCCCATCAGTTAAAGGAAAAGACAGAACATCAGATGAACTGATTTTTCTCTTAAAAAACACTACTGTTCACATGCCATGTAAATCTAGTACTGTGCAAGCCAAATTCCATGGCTCAGGACCATTCTGAGTCGAAATCAGATAACCGAGTTCATGAGCAATGTTTTCGTGCTTATGTCGTCTTTCTCAACCATCGTGTCTTTCCTGCCTTCCTGTAACCATGGCAGAACTGTTCCTGACCCGTTTTGTTGATATTCAATAGAGTTTACATCAGTGCCCCACAGCACATTCCGACTTTGTATTGGGAATATCTCTTGATAACGATAAGGTCAAGATATTCCCAATACAAGGTCAAGATGTACTGTAGGACATTGTGGGGAGCCCCTTGTGTGGGTGCTGCTGATGCGAACTCTATATGATAACCCACTAATCAATCACTAATTGAGTTAGATATGTCAGTCGGTATCCCTCCAAAAATAGGAATAGCCGAATAGGAATCATCAGGAGCCGGAGACAAAATCACACACACGGGGCTGAATTACCTGTTATAGTTGAACACGTCAGTACTCACTGTGGGCCCCATTTAAGATCAAATTATATTAAACACGTGTTCAACCATATAGATAGTTCAGCTGGGTGTATATGTTTTTGTCTCCGGCCAATCTGCTCACGTTTGTTTTTGCTCTGTCTTTACCCCTAATTCCATGTAATGTTATGTGATTTATGTACTCAATATCACAGAAAAAAGACACTTGTTAAGGTACACAACAGGCGCTGTTTGGATGGGACCAAGCCTGAATAACCTAAAACAAAATGTGACAATTTAATGATCCCCATAATCCAATGACCCAATAATCAAAATAATTTTTTTTTTCCTATCACTTGTAACCAATTTACTCTCCCAGCAGCTCAGTGGTTTCTATCTTCTTCATCAGCAATTTAATCTGCTGTTTGGTGATTGGTTTTCTTGTCCTTGTCACTTTGTATCAGTTTTGTTGCTATTTATAGCTTTGGTTCAGTTTGAGAAGAGTACAAATACAAATACGTAGAGTGCAAAACCTTATATTTTGTATGTATTTGCACTATACATATTTGTATTTGTATTCCTTCCAAACTGAGCCTGTGTATTTTGAGCATTTCATTGAATGGAATTTGCTTTGTCAGGCTTATTCTTGGGTTCATTTAAAACATTTGCAACAAGTAAAAGAGCTTACTCAAAAGCAATTAACCAGCCGCATGAGTTACTGAACAGATTTCTAATCATTTATTTTATAGGTTTTTCTTATGTAAATATTCTAAAGGCTGGTTTCTATCTCGCTTCCTGACTAGCTTTTGGAAACATTTTTTTTTTGGGTAAATTGCAATCATTCATTATTAATTATAAACTAGAGTACATGCAAGCCGATTGCTTACAGCATTGAAAGATACATGAACACATGGATCATAAATAAAACAACCAAAAAGGAGGGACCCCAAACCAGGTGACCTCCTCAGATGGAGCCCATTGCAGCAAGCAATTTAATAGGCCACCAGCTAGAAATGCTCTTAATCAAACCAGATTCATCTCTATATATGCATGCAGCTGATGACTCTGGACAAAGAACATTTTCTTCACCTGCCGCAAGGAAAGACTATTGAGTCATGAGTCACATCATCTGTATCATTTCTTATTCATAAAGAAAAAAAAAAGAGAAATAGTAATAGCCCAGATGTATATAAAATTTGAATATAAATCCCCAAGAAGAGAAGAGGTGAAAGGAATTGAAGGAATCACTCTATCAAATACATGAAGTTGAAAAGCTGAGAGCAGCATTCTAATTTTTCTTCTTGAGAAAGTGACCTCCCAAATGCAGTTTCTTTAAAGTGCTTTTTGACAAAATTGACTGATATGGAAAATGAAAAAGCGGAAATGACAAATCACTCTTCTCTTATCTCTCCCCACAAAACACTGTGCTGCATTTATATTTGTTGAATGGAATTATATTAGTGCCAAACCAACTCTGAAGCTCATTTGATCCACTTACACTCAATCCATGGCTAATATATTAAGAGGGTAGGTTTGTTGTATTTGTGTTAAAGTAGAGGCTATCGTCTAAGGTATAACAAAGAGGATCTAGGCATGTGTTGTCATGAACTTATCCAAGGGAAAGCTAGTGGTAGCCACAAATGAACATATAAATATATGGCATTTACTGGTAGACTAATATTATTTTCTTTGACTAGTAGACATAGCTAGGTTTCAGGGAGAAAAAAAAAAAGTTTGAAGGATTCTTCTTGATTTGGGCACATTCTTTGATTCTAGCTACTTTTGATTTATTCATCTCTACCAAAAAAGGATTTATTTATCAAAAGTTGTATTGATTTCTAAAAGACAAAAGTGGCTTTTATCATTAATCAATACAGAACAGGAAAAAAAGGTTTGAGGTATCTTTTTCATTGCATTAAGTGCCTTGTTTATCAAAAATTCAAAATATGGGAGGTGCCCAGATCATTGACCAACAGTACCTCAGAGAGAGAGAGAGAGAGAGAATTCAAATGTTGGGGCCATGGACTTACAGTGATATTACCACATACAGACAGGGATGGGAATGGGATTCTTCAAAAAGTCTAGCAGCGGTGTAACAATAGCTCACTTGCTAGTGTAAAAGTGGTACAAAGAGAAATTAGGGAGTGGGAGAATAGAAAAACAAGGGCGTTCCTGTACCATATCTGTAGCAGCTGAGTTAAGCCGACTGGGAGTCTATATGTGTAAAGCCGAATAATCCCTGAATTTTCTAGCCTTGCAACTGTTATCTCTGGTTCTCTTTCTAACCATCTTTTCTTATTCTAAAATGTATTAAATATCTCATTATTTATTTGATATTATTGTTGGTGACAGAATTTCGAGCCGACCATCTTTGTTGGCTTGTTTCAAATTTTACATGAGAAAGGAAAAGAGAAAAGACACCAAAACACCATTCTCTCTCTCTCTCTCACATTCATTTATGCATCTCGGTTTCCTCTATAAAATCAGACCTCCTTCAATCATATGCGTAGGACGACCGAGCAACATAATGTTCATGTGATCCCTTTACCTCTCTGGCGCTCTCCCTCCCTCTCTCTCTCTCTCAGTCTCTCTCTGGTGTCAGACTCAATATCATATACTTTTGCTAGTCTCAAAAAAGAATTATTTTTTCCGGTTCTCTTCTTTATATTTTGCATTTCCTTAACTTTTTTTTTCGTTTCAAAAACCAGAAATCAGTGTCGTAAATTCACTTAAAAAGCATTGTTACTGTTTCACAAGTTATTTTATTCTGCATATAACAAAGCTTACGGTTTTGTTTATTTAAAGCATTTCTACTGGTTTTGTCTTTAACTTAGAACACTGTTTGAATTCGAGCTGGAATAATATAAACCCATCTCTCAAAAAAAGAAAAGAAAACAAAATGATAGATTTGTGCGGTTTTGTAGGTCCTTTTTTTTTCAGTTTCCTGTGCTAAAATCAGATCTTTATGAGTTGGATTTGGTAGAGTGAAAGAAGAGCTCCAAAACAAGAAAAGTTACTTCGAGTGTATAGTGCATTAGTGCTTTTCCAACTCTCGTAAGTCCCAACCATAAAAATAGAGAGATCCTTTACTTCCTTGGTTCAAAACCGGAATTTGAGTTCGGAATGCCAGTGCCTCGAGTAGTTACAGCAATCCATCTCAAAGAGACCTCTTATGTTTCTCTTTTTCCTTCTCTTTTAGACAGTTTTCAGGAATTCCACTCTTGACCTCTCCTGTGGGAAAACGGAGGATCATCTCTAAACTTTAAGATTTATTATTTGATTGCTTGCCTTTTAATCTCCAAAACCATGGCGATATTTCTGAAAAAAAAGTTGTCTGGTGCTTCTCTCTTTTGTTTTTCTAGCTCAGAGCCACTGACAAAATACTACTCGAAAGGTTGCTTTCTGGTAGTTTAATTTGTCCTTCTCTAAACCAAGTTGGTTTCGAGTTATGTTTTCTCGTTTCGACGACCAGAAACAGATTGCAGAAAACTATCGCTTCTTTCTTCTCCCCTTATACAAGCTCTAATAAGGCTGCAACTGCATCTGGTTTACTGCTTTTAGGTTGAGAACAAAAGCTGCCTCTGACGATCCCTTCGTGGGATTTTCTGGTTCCGATTTTGGGAGATGAAGAATCAGATTGCAAAGCCAGAATCTCACCTCCCCAGATCGCTTTTGATACTTATGTAGTCGGATTGAAGTGGTGAAGTTCTCTCTGTAAGTGAAGTTCAGGGTTATGTGTTGGACTATGGCTACTGGGCTCCAAAATCAGGACGGAGTGCCAGAAAACCACCTCAGGAAACAGCTTGCTTTTGCTGTTAGAAGCATTCAATGGAGTTACGCGATCTTCTGGTCCATCTCAACTAGGCAACAAGGGTAAGAATAGTTAAATATTTCAGCCTATTTTCTTTTGCTGTTATAATTTTCTAATTTTTCTGCAACTGGGTCTGTTCAACGACCTGAAAACTGATATTAAATGGTAGTATATGTGCTATATTGTGGGAAATATGCTGGGCCCACATGAAAATTGTATCGTCTAATTGCGTCCCTTCTTCCTCCTAGATCTGCCTCAGGTTTGTGCAAGTCAACTGCTTTTTATCTGCAACATATATTGTATAATGTGGTTTCTCTTGGTATTGAATTGATGAAAATGGCGCAGATTTATGGTTATTTGTTTAATCTGCTGATGAAGAGACACTGTTGAGTTTTATCAAGTTAGATTTGTTGCACTATTGCCTGGATGTTCGAGAATGCACTAATTATACTTGGATGGTTGCTCGCAAAACAACATATATTTGTTTTGTTTTGTTTTAGTTGTGCTTTTCTTCTTTCTGTAGTATCAGATGGTTGCTCGCAAATTCAGTTTGAAAAGAAAAACATATCTGGTTCACTTGGGATTCATGTTCATCTTAGAACTAATGGCTTCAGATTGCTGATGACTCTGTTTCTCAGACGTTTCTTCCTTGTTTTATCCCCTTTCCTGCCGGTTTGAATTTGGGATTGCTTGAATTGAGCCACTTCCCATTTTTGATACACTGTGCATCTTCATGCCTATAAGGTGTAGCCTTTTGACTGACTACATTTCTGTTATAGTACTTAACTACCTATCCAACAGCAACTTCATCTTTATGCTGCTTGTCAGATGATTTTGTTTATGAACTTCTCTCTTTCTAAAATTTCTGTTTTGCTCTTTATCTTTTCACATAAATGTGATTGTTCTAGGGTGCTGGCATGGGGTGATGGGTACTACAACGGAGACATTAAGACAAGGAAGACGGTACAGCCCATGGAGCTTAACACTGACCAAATGGGTTTGCAGAGGAGTGAGCAATTGAGAGAGCTGTATGAGTCATTATCGGCAGGTGACACTAACCAGCAGGCTAGGAGGCCTTCAGCTGCATTATCTCCTGAAGATCTCAGTGATGCAGAGTGGTATTACTTGGTTTGCATGTCCTTCGTCTTCAAGCCAGGACAAGGGTACTCAGCTCTTTTCCATGACTTTTAATCTTGGTCTTGTGCATCCTAATGCTTTGAAACCCGTTATCATGCTTTCATTCATGTAGAGTGTCTATGTGGTTTCATGAGGACTGAATGTTTATTGGTATATATCATGTTCTTGTGGGTATGCAACAGTGTTTGTCATTTGGAGCTTTAGAGAGATGGGTTCCAAACCCATTCTGTGATATCGACAGTCACATACTTTGTGGACTAAGAAAGGTGTCATATTCAGTTATTAGTCTCTGTTATTTATTATGTACTGATCCAGGAGGACTATTTTACAGAACTGAGACCATATTTTGAAGTCATGTTTATCCAATTCAAGTAGAAAAATCAGTTTAAAATTGTATCTGCTCATAAATTAAGTTGGCTTCCCTGGTTGAACATGATAGAGATAATCTTTGCTTCTAATTGAACACCTGCATTCAACTTATTTGGAATGGAGATAAGGTTTTCATTTATCATTGATTGGCCTACCATTTATGTCTCTTAAGATTGTTGTAGATTTTTTTTTGGGTGCATGGTCACGAGTATGCTGTAAACATACTTCCACCATAATGATCTGCAGGTTGCCAGGAAGAACATTAGCAAATGGTCAGCCCATTTGGTTATGCAATGCTCATCATGCTGACAGCAAAGTGTTCTCTCGTTCTCTGCTAGCAAAGGTTGGTTTTCATTGTTTGAGATATGATTCGATTTTCATACAAAATTTCTCTATTAGAAAGAGGTGAACTAGCTGACTTTTCTTTCCCCCTATGTCTGCTTTCTTCTCAATGTTTCGACTTGCAATTATCAATACCTTCAGAGTGCATCCATCCAGGTATGTTGGACTTTTGCACAACACTGTAATAGAATAATTTTTTTTTTTTTTTTTTACATGTCCATATTAACTTGATCTTTAACTTCCCCAGAAAATTTGATGGTGTTTTGAAATTGGGCAGAAGTTTATAATATATTATAAAATAATAAAATGTCAATTGGGTCATAGTTACATTAATCAGTGGTCTTTTTCTATGGTCATCAATTGGCAAAATTAGATGTTCAAATTTGACTAAGTCCTTTTCCCCTGATTTCTTGTTGAACAAGTCAATATAGCCTAATAGAGCAGTATTGGTGCAATTAACCTTCAACAAGTTTTTTGTTCATAGTAAAGTTTGTTTTCATTTTCCCTTTTACTATTCATTTGTCTTGTCAATATGATTTTTGGTAAAACTTATTGTACTATAAGCAGTGACTTAAGTTAGAGGTGTTATTTAGTAGTTGGGGTTCAAATTATTTACCATATTTTTAGATTTCATCTTTCAATATTTCGGGAAGGCCTCTGTCCAGGCTAACCATAGTCTACAAAAGACCCATACAAGAGCAAGAGAAAAGAATAAAGCAGAAGTGGAGCTTACCTCTTTGCCCATTAATGTGTAAAGATCTGCAGAGTAACCTGATGTGCGGCCTAAACAATCTGCAGTTGATTAGACCAGGCCTACAAATATAAAATGAAACAGGCAAATCCTAAAATAGAGCCTATGATATTAGCATACTTAAGATGCAAAAAGCTTGGGTTCTGAATTTCATTTTCGAGTTTGTAGATTGAATATTATATAGCCTGAATGTGGTCACATGATGGAAAGTAAATGGTCCTTTCTTGATGTAATTCCTATGACTATTTTCTTAAGCATTTGTTCATTCAATGTTACAAGGACATCTCAAACGTTAAAACTAATGTGTCTAGTTGTGCCAACAGTTGGCTCTTGTCACAACACTATCTGTAACATGCTGATTATGCTATAGATTTGAAGTCAACCACAAATGAAATGTTGGCACTAAGAATTCCTAGACAGTGATGCCCTGACAAAGGACAGATCCATATTGTTGTCAACACTTCAATTTTCCAACTTTTTTCTTAGCTTTATTATTCTTTTACTATTTTTCTAATTACATAATTAATTTTTTATTCATTTATGGCCATACTCATGTGCCATGATTTCTAGAGTTGGCATGTCATACAAAGTAACATTGGTTTATATTGTCTGAGTCACAGTTATATATCATATTCTTTGTGTATTTGAGACCATGTTGTACATTCATGATGATTATATAATAAAGATATTAGGAAATTTTCTGGTAAATATTGTGAATTGATTATCAATTCTAGCCATGCAAACAGGACACATGTCATTATCATCTATTTAGTGCATCAGTGCCTGCATATACAAAGACCTGGACCAGGTTATGTCAAAGACCTTGACTATCCATAAGAAGTAAATGATTATGTGCCTGTAGGCCTCAATCTCAAGATAAAAGTTTGATAGCTTTGTTAGCTTCACAAAGCTATAAGAAGCAAATGATTATGTGCCTGTAGACCCCAATCTCAAGATAAAAGTTTGATAACTTGGTTAACTTCACAGTTAATTTTATTAAATGTAAACAACAAAGATGTACGGGGCTTACATAAATCATTCAAGAACATAGTCACTACTATCTCTCCCCATAGAGTTTCCATAACAATTGAGCCCAAAAGTTGATTTCTAGTTACCCCTTGTCTGGCTAATGCTTTTTAGTTTTTGGCCAACCTTGGTACCCATTGAATTTTCACTTGCATATTCCTAGTTAGCCATCTGAACTTCTTTAGTTCATTTAATCATTTCTATAGGGCCACAATGCTCTCTGTCTCTCACAATTCAGCAGCCAAGTAATCACTTCTTTTGATTCAACTTCAATGAGTAGTCACTCCATTAACTCTCTGCAATCCCTGAATAACTGCCATAAATTCTGCTCTTATTGAACTTCCTACTCCAATTGCGCGTGAGAACATTGTAAGCACATGCTTCATCTCTAAAGAACCCTCCCACCCTTGGTCCTTCTTGCAAGAAAATACCTTAAAATCCAGTTTTGAAACAATAGATGTATGAAAGCTGCAAGAAGGAATCAAGGGGCTATTGCTTGGTGCAATGGTAAAATCTCGGTTTTAATAAACATGAGAATGCTGGTCCAAGTCTGAAGGAGGCCACTCCAGGCATGAAAATGCCATCTGTATTCAGTCCACCCCAGATGGCTGAAGGAGGCCACTTCAGGCATGAAAATGCCATCTATATTCAATCCACCCCAGATGGCTGTGTCCGACATTGGGTAATGGCTCTTGTCACAATTGCAATACAGAATCAAGGGAAAAAAACCAACATCGCAGTCAATGGTTCTTGGCAAAATATAAATCTTGTTAATAAGGGAACAAGGGCATGTTCTGAATCCTCTGATTTCATCAGGTTAGCTCAGTTCGACCAGATTTATCTGATCAGACAACACTCTTTCCTGTCCAACCTTTTAGATTTATCTGATCAGACAACTCCACAGGGAATGGTTCTTGACAAAATATAAATCTCGTTATGAAAGGAACAATGCAAGTTCTGATCTCATCATGCATGTTAACCCAGTTGGACCAGATTTATCTGATAAGACACCACCTTTTCCTGTCCAACCTTTTAGATGTTTTAATAACTATGTTTTTGTTTGTTTGTTAGTTTTTTTTTTTTTTTTTTTTCTAATCATTCTCTTGAGAACTGTATTACTCATATGTGTTTTGTTTCAAATTTTCAGACAGTAGTGTGCTTTCCGTTTCTGGGTGGTGTTGTTGAGCTTGGGGTGACTGAACTGGTAACTCTCATTATATCTTAATTCACTTTGTGCTTGTATAGCAGTAGGTTGCATTTCATTGTATCCACAGCGTAAGCAATTCACTTTGTTGTATTTTGTCATCTTAAGGTCTTGGAGGACCCAAGCATCATTCAAAACGTGAAAACTTCATTTTTGGAGTTCCCAGAGCCCATGTGCTCTGAGCAATCAACTTCCAGCCCACAGAATGTAGATAATGAGGAAAGCCTTGAGCTTAAACATGAGGTGGACAACACCGTGGCTTTGGATAAATTTAATCCAACACCAGAATGTGAAATGGAACCAGAAATAGCTTCTCAAACATTCCCACAATGTCTCTCTCCCTGCATGGCTAAAGAAGACATTGAGCAGGATGGGATTGAGGAACTAGATGCAAATATATGTGATGACATAAAATCCGGCTCCCCTGATAACGGTTCAAACGAGTGCAGAGCCAATCAACAGACTGAAGATTCCTTCATGCTTGATGGTATGAATGGTGGGACTTCTCAAGTCCAGAGTTGGCAGGTCATGGATGATGAGTTCAGCAATTGTGTTCATGGTTCCATGAATTCCAGTGACTGCATATCTCAAATCTTTGTAAATCCTCAGAAGGTTGTCTCTTCTCCAAAGGGTGAAAGAATTAATAATCTTCAGCTTCAAGACCTCCAGGAATGTAACCACACAAAACTTGGTTCCTTGGATCTTGGAAATGACGACCTGCACTATTCTAGGGCTCTTTCTGCCATCTTTAAGAACTCCCACCCATTGATTGTAGGACCAGGCTTCCACACTGGTAATCATGAGTCCAGCTTTAAGAGTTGGAAGAGAAGAGGATTTCTAGATGCACAGATGGTGAAGATTGGCACACCACAAAAGATATTGAAGAAGGTTTTGTTTGAAGTTGCTCAGATGCATGATGGTAGCTTACTCAAGTCCCGGGAGTTAAATACTGGTAAGGTTGGACTTTGCAAAGCGGAAGGGGATGATGTTGATCTAAACCATGTCTTGTCAGAGAGGAGGAGGAGGGAGAAAATGAATGAGAAATTTTTGGTTCTGAGATCCTTGGTTCCTTCTATTAGCAAGGTACTTATATTGCCATTCATAGGTAGTAGCTTTGGATGACATATTGTGAAATTTCAAGCATCTTAATCATTTCAGAATCTAATTTCACATATTATGCAGGTTGACAAAGCTTCTATACTTGGTGACACCATAGAGTACCTAAAAGAGCTTGAGAGAAGGGTTGAAGAGTTGGAATCTTGCAGGGAGTTATCAGAGTTTGAAGCAAAAGCAAGAAGGAAGCATCCAGACATAGCAGAGAGGACATCCGACAACTATGGTTACAATGACATTTCTAATGGCAAGAAACCTACCATAAACAAGAGGAAGGCCATTGATATTGATGAAACAGAACCAGAGCTCAATCAGGTTTTATCTAAAGATGGTTCTGCAGCAGATGTGATTGTCAGTGTGATTGATAAGGAAGTTTTGATTGAGATTCGGTGTACTTGGAGGGATTGCTTGTTCTTTGATATCATGGACACAGTAAGCAATCTTCATTTAGATGCACACTCGGTTCAATCGTCCACAGTCGACGGAATTCTCACTGTAATGCTTAAAACTAAGGTGTGGATCTTCACTTAAAAAAGAAAATGGTTTTTTTTTTTTTGTCTTTCCAACCCAACCATCCAAACTCTGTTCATGAAAATTAATATTAACCGTTTACAAATTTGGTTGCAGTTTAGGGGAGTGGCGGTTGCATCAGCAGGAATGGTCAAACAAGCACTTCAGAGAGTTATCAGTAAGTGTTAGAGGATGATGTCTTTAGCCAGCTAGACAATAATTATCATCGGATACCTTCCCTTCAAGGTTACTCTGAGTTTGTAGAATTTTCTTCTCAGTTATTATGTAATATGTTAGATGAAGGGATCCTTTAAGAATCAGTTTTCCCCGCCGCAAGAACTATAAGTGTTTGGTGCTTTTTGTACACGTTCAAGTTACATAATTTGGGTCATTACAAAGACACCCCTCTACTTTGCAACCACTTTACATGGGTCAAGCCGTCAAGATTCAAAATATCGCAATGTATCGGGCAATATCATATCGGTACCGCCCCAATATGCTAAATATTAGGTATTTGTAACTTTGTCATTTTCAGGGCCAATCCGCTGTAAAATTTTGAAAAAAAAAACTGAAAAAAGGGGGAGTGGGTGATCGAAACACCCAATATGCACATTCTGGTGTATTGGGCTGTATCGATATTTTGAACCTTGCTTCACAGTAAATCTATGATACTGGAATAGCTTGGAGTAATCAACCCCCCTGGTGATACCGGTTGATTGGTAGTTATTTTAGACAAAAGTATAAAATGGGATTGCTAACCGTACACCAAAATAATGTACTAAAGAAATACGGAGAAGTACGGATAGACTCATTGCAGAATTCTGATTTCCACTGCAGATCTACAACATTTCAAAAGGTCAATTATCCCCATCCTATGCACCAATGCGCCCATGAATTGGTATCAATTCCGAGCTGGCACCTACCCCAATTGTACTTTGTGCCTATGAATTCTGACCCTGGGCTGAACCATCATTCTCCCAAAGAAATAGAGGGGGGCTGCGATTGTTGTGTTCATCCTGTCCAAGTTCAAGTGGCGAGTTATGGTTACTTGTGCTTGGTAGGCAAATGGTATCCGTCCATTAAGCAATTCAAGTTGAGTATGTTTAGTTGTTTATAACATTCAAGGTTCTAAATGAAAACTTTCATCGGTCTTCATTGTCTCTCGTAAAATTTATATTTATTTTCTCTCTCTCTCTCGTAGAAAGAGGAAAGAGGGTAGGTGAGGGGTCCTCTCACTACAAACATGTGTATATTCACTTTTAAATTAAATTATTAAAAATAGGGAAAATTCCCGATCAATACTTTGTATTTTGGCTCGAGTGACAATTTGGTCTCTGAACTTTCAAAATGTGACAATCTAGTACCTGAACTTTCAAATGTGACAATTCAGTACCTACCGTTAATTAGTTTGTTAATCAGCCGTTAAGTGACATTTGAAAAGTCAAAAATGCCCTTTGAATTCCATCTAATTCTCTTTATCAACCATCCAAATGTTGACAAAAAACTAAACTGTCTCAAATCATAGCCTCTTCTATTCAAAAAAGTTGGTGATTGTTTAGAAGAATCTAGAATTTGGGATTGTTCATTTTATTGTCAATGTTTGGATGGTTGATAAAGAGAATTAGATGGCATTCTTAGGGCATTTTTGACTTTTCAAATGTCACTTAACGGCTAATTAACGGACTGGTTAGCAGCAGGTACTGGATTGTCCGATTTTGAAAGTTCAGGTACTAAATTGTCGCATTTTAAAATTCAGAGACCAAATTGTCACTCGAACCAAAGTACAGGATACTGATCAGGAATTTTCCCTTAAAAATATAACAAGTCCAAATGGAAACTCTCATTGGTTTTCATTGTCTCTCATAAAATCCATATTTGCTCTTTAATAAGATCATTCTTAAATATCTCTCTCTCTCATTGATAACCAATGTTTATAACATTTCCCCTCCCCATTAATGTCAAAACCCAAATTTTCTCATAAAAGTCAAAAGAATCCATTGCTTCTTTCATGGTTATCATGTTTTTCTCTCTTTTTTTTTATTAATTTAATGTAGATTTGTTTCGTGAACTGTTTAGGTTTAATAATAAAATGCAAAAAGAAAGCACTTAATATAGGCCTTTGGTTATTTTCATCAATTCAAATGGTTTTCATGCTAAGCATTTGACTTGTGTATTTCTCATAATAAATAAGTTATATAAAAAAAATAAGTTTGAAGTTCAATAACTAAAAGAAAAAAGAAAATTATTTTTTCTACTCTTTTATATGTAAAAAAATAAAAATATATAAAAATTTTGATGAATCAGCAGTACTACTTAAAAAAATACATTTTTAAATAATAACCCAGGTGGCTAAAATTGTGCCATAGAAAAGGGACAGTCATGCTAAGTGGAGGAAGAGTCTGGCTGTACAAGGAATATTGCTTTTCCTCGGGATTGAGGACCCAATCGAAGGAATTCACTTTTTATACAATAATTGTCATAGTACTGCAGGCTAAAACCGAGAATAATGGCTTTAGATGTTTTGCTGTGATCCCACCAAAACGTCACTCATCAAATGTAAGGTGAGCCAAGGGCAATACAACAAAGGCTTTGCTTTCATTGTTTTATCTCTGCATTGTCCTCCGAAAAGTGGTTTCTAATAGAAGAATAGATCCATTACATGAGATGGGTTCAATGAAATATTTCCAAAAATACATACTGTTGTCTGTCCAATGTAGGCTGTCAATGGGTCAGGTAGGCCCAATTAAACCGAATTGAACAGATCCAATTATGTTTTATGTAGGGTTTGGATTAGCATTACTGTCTCTATTATAATCGGCCTGGAGTCAGTTTTTGTTCTCAATTCTGAACCTAGAGGAGTTTGGATCTGCTACCCACCTATAAGAATGAATACCCACAAAACACTACAGCAACATCACCTCATTAGGAATGGCAGCGGGGCTGGGCGGTGACGGGGAGACTCTCCCCATTCCCCCTAAATCCATCTCCGTCTCCATCCCCGTCCCCATAAACGGGACAAAGTTATCCCCATCCCCGCGGGGATCTTCATTCTTGTGATTTTTTATAATACTAATCATTTCGTTTTTTATTTTTATTTTATTTAAAAAGATAAAAATAAAATAATTAAAATTTATAGTCTTATTAGAAAAGATTCAAACATATTTGACCATATTTCTAAAATATTAATATATAGATGTATGTATGCATATATACATATAACGTATGCATACATATATACAAATATATTAGTGGGGATCCCAGGGGGCGGGGATCGGGGCCCCTGAAGGGTGCTCTCCCTGTCCCCACCCTGTCCCCCGCTAACGGCAATAAAAATTTCCCCATCCCCATCCCTGTAGGGGAAAAATCATCCTCATCCCCACCCCATTTGGGGTGGATCCCCAAGGGGATTGAGGAAATGGGGAAAATTGCAATCCCTACTCCTCAATTGCCATGAATGATAACATATATGTATGGGAGATGTCTCCCAATGTACACAGATGTAGTATTTTATTCGTGGGTAGCTGATCCAAATCCACGTAGAGAACCCCTTAATCCAAAAATGGCATATTGAGTATAAAAAACTGCAAATTTAAGAAATTTGTAAGTTTATTGTCAAATCTAATATATATATTAAAGGAATGTCTTCAGGCAACAACCTCCACCCTTTAGACATGTGGCTTTACAATAGTCAGTAGTTATGAGAGAGTTTATTCAGTTTCCCATTCACACATGTGGCTATATACAATATTGCATGTAAAGAGAGTTACATAGTTAGTAGGTCATGCGCCTATTTTTCAGCAAACCAAAACCTCTCATTCAATTGTAGTATTTAGTCGGTTGGAAGGCCGCATACCTAAATTGTAGGAAGGTGAGAAGTTAATGGGTTACTAGGCCAGATTTCAATCCTATCATTCGAACTGCAACTGTGCACTTCTGTATTGACTTCAATCTGCCTGAAATTGCAATTTTAGAGAAAGTAGAAATTCAATGGGTTCCTCAAATTGCAACTTTAGAGAAGTGGTGATTCAATCCGGTCAGACTGCAACTTCAAAGAAGCAGTAATTCAATCCGGTTATTTACATGCTCTGCTTTTTAGTTCTTTCGTATTTCATATTCTATTCAATACGAAGTTAATTGCTTGCATCAATAAGTTTTTAACAATTTTAGCCTTTCAATCTCTGTTCACTCCTTGGTTCATTGTTGCTCCTTTGTTATTGTTTTAAATTACTATTCTAAGTTTTATACTATTTAGAAATGATCGCCAACCATGCCCGGCCACCAGTGGCCAAGAGCTTCATAGGATACATGTCGTTTTCTGAATTCAGTAGGAACCAGCACCTGAGAAGACGATGAATCGACTAAGTCAGAAACGGATATGTATTCGGCCAACGACCGGCGATCATTTATGCCTGGCCGCTAGTGGCTGGGAAGTTCATTAAAATGGCTTCCATTAAACACTGGTGAACTGCATTCACCAGCAGTTGTGATCACAACCCAACTACGTTTTCTTTTTCTGTGTTGATTTTCCTTCTTCCCTTCTTATTCTCTTCTATTATTTCAACTATTTAACACATTTTTGTTGAAATGGGTGATAAACCTCCCTCCTTTGGCCTTTCGACGGTCGTTGTATGTTTGTTGTCGTCACTCTGTCGAGTTAAGAGTCGGATTAAGAAGGTGATGCATAATGGATTGGGTGAGTCAGGTCTGTATCGAATTCGAATCCGAACTCTACTTATTAGCTAATAGGTTTCGTTTAGTCGGTTATATGGACATAAGCCAACCCAATTTCCAAGAGACCCAGGTTTAATGCATTTAAACCAATTGCCGGTATAATTAGTAATAATTAACATTAATTAAATCAGTTAGGTATTACACCAAACCCGGTTTAAGTTATTAATGATAATTAATAATAATGCTAATAATAATTAATGATTAAGATTAATTAGTAATAATTAATATTAATTAAATCAGTTAGGTATTAAACTAAACCCGGTTTAAGTCATTAATGATAATGTTAATAATTATTTAATAGTCATATTTAATTCGATTCAGTTTCCAACAGACCCGGTTTTAATGTTATACTGATAATTAATTAATATATTATTAACATTACTGAGTTTATAATCACTAATTATATAGCTTTATAAATAGTTGTATATAATTAATAGAAATTACTTGTTGAAAAATACTGATTTCGGTTATTTAATTTCAGAATGTGTGCCTAAATTAATTATTTAAATAAATGATAACTGGAAAATTAATAACTAATTAAAATATTAATAAATATAAATTCCATAATTAAAACTTATTGATAAATATTCACTGGAAATTTTATTTCAAAAAAATATAAATTTATTTTCTTTAAATTTACATTAATTTGGATATTAGCAGTAACTTTTTAGCATTAAGTATATATTAATATTTGCAGTTATTTTGGTCAAGTATTATTTAAAAATTAATAATTAATTAAAATATTAATAAATATACTTGCTGAAAATTATCGATTTCAGTTATTTAATTTCAGAATGTGCGCCTAAATTAATTATTTAAATAAATGATAACTGGAAAATTAATAAATAATTAAAATATTAATAATTATAAATTCCATAATTAAAACTTATTGATAAATATTCACTGGAAATTTTATTTAAAAAAATATAAATTTGTCTTCTATACATTTACATTAATTTTAATATTAGCAATAATTTTTTAGCATTAAGTATATATTAATATTTTCAGTTATTTTGGTCATTTATTATTGAAAAATTAATAATTAATTAAATTATTAATAAATATACTTGCTGAAAATTACTGATGTCAGTTATTTAATTTCAGAATGTGTGCCTAAATTAACTATTTAAATAAATGAAAACTGAATAAATTAGTAATTCATTAAAATATTAATAAATATAAATTCCATAATTAAAACTTATTGATAAATATTCACTTGAAAAATTATTTCAATAAATATAAATTTCTTTTCTTTACATTTACATTAATTTTGATATTATCAGTAATTTTTAGAAATAAGTAGTTATTAATATTTTCAGTAATGTTAGTCAATTATTACTGAAAAATTAATAATTAATTACAATATTAATAAATATAAATTTCATAATTAAAATTTATTGATAAATTTTCATTGGAAAATTCATTTTAGTAAAATTAAATTTATTTATTTTGGTCAATTTATTAATAGAAAAACCACTTTCGGTCATTTATTGTTTTCAATATTATTATTACCATTACTGCTATTAAAATCAGTAATTTTAATATTATAATTATTTCTACTAATATTCAGATTCATTAATAATCTTAATTACTGATTTATAATTACTAACATTATCAATATATAATGAAGATTATTTAATATCAGTAATTATAATTAATAATATTATTTTTAGCAATTAATATATTATTAACATTATTGGTTTTCAAATCAATGATATTAATATCTATATTATAATATCAGTAATATAAGTAATTATTCTAGTAATAATATAAGATAGTAAATAGGAAAATTTAATTACTAAATATGACTTGCTGAAAATTGCTGAGTTTGGTAATTTATTCATTTAACTCGGTCAAGTTTCCAACAAACCCTGGTTTATATGTTATACTGATCATTAATTAATATACTTTTAATATTAGTGATTTTATAATCACTAATTATATAACTTTGTAGATAAGAAAAATTAATTTATAGAAGTTACTTGCTGAAAATTACTGATTTTGGTACTTTAATTTCATTAAGTGTGTCTAAATTAATTATTGAAATGAAATACTAACAAATTAATAATTAATCAAAATATTAATTAATATAAATTTCATAATTATAAATTATTAATAAATTTTCATTGGAAAATTTAATTCAATAAATATAAATTTATTTCATTTTTAGATTTACATTATTTTTTATATTATCACTAATTTTTTAGGAAAAAGTAGTTACTGATATTTTCAGTAATTTTGTTCAAATTATTAATAAAAATACCACTTCTAGCAAGTTAATTTAGTGAAATTTATATTTTAAAACTTTGAATTTTTCAAGTAAATAATTCAAAGTTTTAATAATTCCCATATGTATTAGGTAGTACATTTATAATTACTTATTGGAACTATATTCATGGGTTTGGGGGATGACCGCCTGGGGTAGGGATTATACTCCCCATCCCGACCCCAAGTTTTAAATAATAATAATAATAATAATAATAATAATAATAATAATAATAATAATAATAATAACAACAACAACAACAACAACAATTATTAAAAACTTAATCAAGTAAAAAAAGCAATTATAACAATTTAATTACTTAATAAAGGCAATTTAGGTAAATACTTCATAATAACAAATTATTACTTAATAATAACAAATCAAGTAAATATATATACACACACACACACACGTGGCATCCTATTAATTAAAGAAATAGGATTCAAAAAGTGGTTAGTTTCACACCTAAACATTCTCAAACGGACATTTATTTATTACCTTAACGCATGTTTATCCAGAAAATTTAATTAAGCACGTGGTATTCTAAAATTTAATTAAACAACATCCCGGAAATAGGCTCATCCACTCCTAAAAAACTGTCAAAGTGGTTACCTTTAATCACAAACAAATTTTAATTTTAATTTTAATTAAGAGCCCTACGGTTCAAAAACTGATTGTGCATTTAAGTTATGTAAATTACCAGAATTTAGTGTAATTAAAAAATCTATTATAACAACAATACTCAGTAATTAAATACTGGTTATTAATAAGAATTTAAGAAAACAATCATCACCATTACTAATTAAAAATAATATTAATCATTAATTAAATAATTAAGTAAATATTATATTTTGATTAATCTTTAAATTTTTACAGTAAAGATTTTAATTATTATGATAATAAAAACATTAATTAAATACTTAATAATTAATCAACTAAATATTACAACATAAATAATCTTTAAAAAATAGAGTTGCAGACTCTATTATTATTGGGGCTGATGAGGCGGTCCCATAGTCCCAATTAATAATTGGGTCGGTTTTGGATCTCACAGACCTCTGCTGTCTGCAGGAGACCCTGTACACATATTTTATCGGACTGGGACCGGATTTACCCGGACCAAGACCCGACCGGACCCCATTCATTGACAGTAATAGACAAACGAGCTATCTGTTGGCAGATAGCTTGACTAAGGTTTGATTCTTTAATGGCTTCCGTTTGAGCAGAGTTGCTGGCCATTGTTTCTTCCTCCACGTGCTAAGACTCTAAAGAGTACACAAGAGACGCCTCATCAATCACCAGTGTGAACTGTGAACTGTCAAGGGTTACTAAATGGCCTGCTCCTCTATAAATGTTGCTGAAGCGTGGGCGGCCTGGGGAGCACACAACCTGCCTGCAAATTTCAAGAATTCATCGTTGATCATTGAGGTCGACTCAAAACTGGTCATTTCTTGCCTTAAGGGTCTCCTCACTTCTCCTTGAATCTCGATAGCATCATCCAGGATTGCAGAAGGCTCAAGGATAATCATTTACTATTTTTTCATCTTCACCAACAATGCTATTTCATTAGTAATGCGACCCAATCTATGTCATGTTGGTTAAGCAGCATAATATATATGGTGTTTGGTATTAATGTTGTTCCTTCAAGGTATTATTCTATTCTCTGGGGCAATGCCGTGTAGTGTTTTTTCATATCTTCTTTTGAGGGTGTTTGATTTCGTTTACGTTTATTCAGTAAATATTTTGTACTTGTGTGACTGCAAAACCGAGAAATATATTTAATGAGGACGCTTATGATACGCCATTAGACACGACATCAGCAAAATGCCAATAAAGGTTTACCCGTTTCAGGAAGCTTCATTTTGAAGCACCTATGTAGCACTGTCAATAAACGTAAGCGAAACCAAACATATACTCTGTTTGGTTGATTGTTTTTCAAGAATTTTTCAACAATTACCAGCAATAGTTTCATTTCATATTGGGTTATGTGCAAGTAACTTTTTGAGAAAAACTCAAAACGAAACTTCTTGTATTGGAGAAAACGTTTTCTCTTTTTTGCTTGTGTGGCATCTAATTAGCATCATATAATATTAAAATAAAAGTGCACATAACTCAGAGTATTTTATCAATTTTCAATTTTTTTTTTTTTTTGTAGCCTGAAAAAACAACAATGGTACCAAACAAACTAGTACTCTCTTTCTCATGGCTAGAGCGATAGGGGCAGCAAATCCATTGGATTCAATCCAACCCGAATCTGAATTCAGCTATCTATTTAGTATGTAATGGGATCTGAAAGCATAATATATTTATTAATTGGATCGAACTCACATATATTGTTTGATTTGATCTATTAGGATCCGATCCCATCTTAACCTTTTATATTCTACATGTAGAAAATGAATATTTACGAGTCAAGAACAAGTCTTTATATCAATTAATCACGTCTGTTTACGTATTTTTATAAATTATACTTATAAATCACATTAAACACTTTAACAACATTAAAAATATCAACCTCAAACATTTCACTTATGTCATTTTCTCATGCACAAAGGCCACAAATAGAAATAAACAATTAAACATAAAGCCATAAACACCTTTTATATGGTTTAGCAACAACTGAATTACAAAAAGAGCGACTAACGATCGACCATGAGTACTGATGTTTGACATTATAGTTATTACCTTTACAAAATGAACTTAGAAATCCACCTTCATTTGTCACAATTTATATCGGACCTTGCAAAATCCTTGACAGTCAATCCGACTCTGTGGAACTTGTTTGTCTCACTGCCTTGTCTGAACTTCAAATAATCCAAGCAAACAAAGGGTCTGTACATCCTTGTGTTCCCTTGTCCCACCACTTCATCAGGAGCCAAGACCACCTTCTCATCCTCAAAGCACCAGAAGAAAGCCAGAGACAGGCGGTTTACAAACCGCCTCAGAACAACCCGATGTTGGGATGATTTCAACCTTCCATTGCTCCAAGCTTCCAACAGATCACCTATGTTCACCACCAGGTTTCCTTCACAAGGGCTTACATCTACCCATTCCCCTCCATTCGATCTCATTTGGAGCCCACCAATTTGATCTTGATACACAACTGTGATGCAGCTCATGTCTGTATGCATCCCAAGCCCCTCTACCTCTTCCTTCTCCACCGTCTCCGGCGGTGTGTAGTTGATTATCCTCAAGTATCCATGGCAGCTTCCAAATTCAGAATCACAGTATTTCTTGTAGAACCCATCTCCTAAAGTCTCCAATACAATCTCCGAAATTCTCTTTGCCAACTCTGACATCTTTCTCCCATATTCCTGCAATGTCTCACTGCCAAACAAAAACAAAGATAAACAAAAGCACTCACCAGAAGAAGAAGAAGATCGAGGGTTATGGGTGTATTACCAAAACTCAGGATTTGGTGCGTCGAAGAGTACATCTGAAGAATTCTTGGCAGAGGCAAAGAAGTCAGGTCCAGACACTCGGAGGCCTTCATAGTAGGGGGAGGCTATGAAATGAGGAGTATACGTTCTTATGCATGAGGGTGGGCCAAGTTTCAGCTTGGAGTCTGAAGGGAGCTTGAAGAGGTTGGTTGAGAGCAGATAGAGTCTGTCGTAAAGAGCTTTGGGGATGCCATGGTTGGTGATGTAGAAGAAGCCCCATTGTCGGCAGGCTTGAGAGAGGAAGGAGAGAGAGGAAGGGTCTAATGGCTGAGAGATGTCTAACACAGGGAGTTGCCTAAAAGTCTGGGATTCAGACATTGTCATCTACTACTAGCTAGAAGAAGTAAATAATGAGAAGATAGAGAGTAGAGACTGGGGAAATGGGGAAGTGGGGATTCCTGAATCCTATCTATTAAAATGGGTTTCTGAAACAGATTACAGAGCATTGCATTGATGATGAGAAGCTTGAAACCCCAAGAGATGTGGCACCAAGGAATTCAAATCAACAATCATGTACACAGAAACCCCAGCAGAAAACAAAGATATTTTCAACACATCATACATGTGACCTTTGAAAATGTGTTCAATGGTGGTTGGTCCCTTGGGAATTTTATATGTTAACCTGCTGGGGGACCCCAATTTTATAACCCAGATTTTAATTAATGGGTCTCACATTCCACTAGAGAAGATAATTACAAAGAGTTGTGCAGAGATGAAGTCAATTAAGAGAGGTTGGCCAGGAATGATGGGAGTGTACTGGATCTGCTGGGTTCTCAAAGAGTTTAGATTCTCTTTTTTGGGGAAAGTGCTCTAATGGTCCCATTACTTGTTCAAGTGAAAGATTGAAGAACCCTAGGCTTTCGCAATAAAACCAAAGGACGGACAATCTTGGCATTGTTTGACTAAACAATCAGTATCAGACTTTTTTTTTTACAACGTGGGGTTCCATTACCATAGAAATGTTAGCATCAACTACAGGAAACAGATGCGTTTGTGTTTACTTACAGTTTACAATTTGGTGGGCCCAATTCAAGTTGTCGTTATTATTGGGTTTGGAATTTTGAACTGGTTAGTGGTGATTAGGCTCGGGCCTGATAATTCAGGTTTGACCAAACTCACTTCAACTCAAGCCCGCCCATCCCTACCTTAGTTTTAATGACCCCTATGGGATATTGTCTAAAAATTGTCTAAAAATTGTCTAAAAATCATCATCAACTTTTAGCATTTATCTTAAATTTATCATAACTTTTCAAAACATCTAAAAACTCCATGTCTATAAACTTTTATTTTTCCAAACTCACCATGAGAACCGTTGAAGTTTATTGACATAAGTTGCTCACGTTAGCATAAAGACAATTTTTATAACCAAACTGCCTCTGAATGAGGATTCAGCCTTATTAAACATATTTTTATAACTAAAATGCCCTTATGCACCTAAATGCCTTGTACATTTAATGTAAAACATCAGGAATTGCAAAAAAAAAAAAAAAAAAAAAACTTGGGAAATGATAAAATAATTAAAAAAAAAATTATAAAAGAAAAACTGTAAAAAACATTAAAAATTGCACAAAAATCACAAATATTTTTTCAGCCAAAAATAAAAAATTGCAGAAAAATGTATAAAATGATAAAAAATAAAAAAAAATATGTATTTCAACTAAAAGAGAAAAAATTGCATAAAACAGGTACAAAAAATAAAAATTCACAAATATATTTCAGCCAAAATTTGGAAATTACAGAAAAATACATAAAATTATAAAAAATTATATATTTCAACTAAAAAAATCTACAAACAATAATTGCAGAAAATAATACCAATTTCAAAACTAAAAAAATCTAAAAACAATATTTATGGAAATTATAGAAAATCATACCAAATTTAAAAAAAAAAAGTGGAAACTTCAAAGAATGATAAAAATTTCAAAATTCAATATATATATATATATATATATCAGTCAGGTTTCAACTAAAAACAAAATAAAAACAGAGAAAATTTGATAAAAATATTTCAAAATTGCAGAGAACACAAAAGTTGCCTCCATTGACTAGTGCTGGCCATTCTCTATGACCCTATAGACTAGCACAGGACGGTGCCAAAAAACCATAATCTTCATCGGAAAGGTCTCTTCATCGAACGTCTTCCTTGTCGTCTTGTTGAGTCTCATATGGAGGGTTTTGGTTGCATAGTCTTTGTCATTTCTTTAATGGCACTGCTCCTTGTCATCTTCTCTACCATCAGACCAAATCTCAAGGTGAGTTCCTCGGTGGAGAGGGAGGAGGTAGGGTTTTGAAGAAGAAGAAGAGGATGATGGGGCAAAGGAGAGGAGGATGTTTTGAAGAGGAAGAGGAACGGAGCGGACGAATAGAGAAGGGGCTTTGACTGAGTGGACATCACCGCCCCTTGGAACACAGAAGGGGCTCTGACCACCAGCAATCGTCAAGCAGGATGCGGTTGAGCTTCTCGGGAGAGGAACCGGGTAGTAGGGAATGGAGCGAACAAACAGAGAGAAAGAGATAGTCAAGGAACCCAATGCTACTAGACACCGACAAAGATGGTGCCATAGGGGCAACATTTCAGTTAGGGCGGACTGCTCTTATCTCTCGCTACCATAGTTCCAGCCATGCCACATCGCTGCAGTGTCTCGCCGTCGAGAGAACACCCAAACAACCAGTCATCGTTTTTCTCTTTCTCCTCGATGAAGGCAATGATGTTACAGACATGGGTTAAATATAAAAAGGGTAAAATGGTAATCTACTAACATCCGTTAAGCATGTTTAACATTAAATTACTGACATGGGGTTTTTGGACGTTTTGAAAAGTTATGGTGAATTTAAGAGAAATGCTAAAAGTCATGGTGAGTTTTAGACAATTTCCCTTTATAAAAGAAATTATAAAGTCTTATTGATTTACAAAATGAGATATGTTTTGTAAAAGGGAAATTGTCTAAAACCCACCATCACCTTTTATGAATTCTCTTAAACTCACCATAACTTTTCAAAACGTCCAAAACTCACCATGTCCGTGAGACTTTGTTTTCTAAAACTCACCATCCATTAGAACACCGTCAAAGTTCATTGGCCCAAGTTGTCCACGTCAACCTAAATGCAAGTTTAATGACCAAACTGCCCCTGAATGGTGAGTCAAATTGTTATTTTTTTTACCAAAATGCCCTTAAGCACTCAATCCTATTTCATATATAAGATTCCCACTCATTGAGAGTCTTTCTTTCTCTCAATGTCCCAAAGTGTGTTCTTGCTCTCAAAGTCAAAGGGTGTTCTTATTCTCAACGTCCAAGGAAGGGTCTTCTTTCTCTCAACGTCCAAGGAACCTCTTACCAGGTATTTCACCTTCAATTTTTTTTTTCATTTTTGCTTAATTAGGGCACTTGAAGAAATCTGATTTTTGCTTAATTAGAGGCATCAAGAAGAGGCACCACTATACTTGACGCAGCGTAGAAGCAATAAACCAGGCTGGCTATGCAAGCACCAGGCGAACGCAAGGCTTCACAGTGAAGCCGAAGAGAACTATACGTGAACCTCTAGAGGAGAGAGAAAAGTTGCCGAGAAAACTTGAATGTGTATTAGCTTGGAAATAACTATATTTATAATACATATGGAAAATTGTACAGTAACTAGGAAAGAAAATTGTAAGTGATCTAAACAACTAATCTTCTAGCTAGGGTCGAAGTCTTCTTGGAGGTTGCCTCGATCTCCACCGTCCGATCTCCCTAGATCGATCCATGCATGGGTTATCCTTTCTTCTTGAATCTTGGATCTTGGATCTTGGTTCTTGGATCTTGGATCTTGGAATTATCCTTATCCTGCATGTGACTCTTATCTCATGAGTTGCTGCCTAGATGATGAGATGGGCCTCCATCATTCTCCCCCACTTGGAAAGAACTCGACCCCGAGTCGTGACTGCGATATGCAAGTGTCGTCTCGGGCAGGTATCGATGAAGGTCAGCAACATTAAATGTCTTAGAGATACCCATGTGATCTAGCAAGTCCACGACATAAGCATTGTCGTTGATTTTCTTCATGATCTTGTATGGACCGTACTTCCGAGGCTGTAGCTTGTTATACTTCCCCACGGGAATCCGTTCCTTTCTCAAGAACACCATAACTTCATCACCGACGTCAAATACTTGGTGTCGGCGATGCTTGTCTGCCGCCATCTTGTATTTTGCATTGGTTTGCTCCAGTTTCTGCCTCACGGCGTTTTGGATGGACTGGATCTACCCTGTCAGCTGTTCTGTCGAGGCACTGGGTACCCTGGGTACCCTGGGTAGCTTCACCAAGTTCAGTGCATGATTAGGAACCTTCATATAGACAATGGAAAACAAAGATCTACTTGTAGAGCTGTGGACTACATTATTGTAGGCGAACTCGGCATGTGCTATGGCAAAATCCCACTGCTTCGGTCTCTCCCTACAGATACTGCGAATCAAATTTCCAAGGGTCCGATTCACCACTTCTATCTGTCCGTCCATCTGCGGATGGGCTGTACTGTTGAAATTCAATGATGAGTCAAATAGCCTCCACAGGGTCATCCGAAAATGACTTAGGAACCTCGTATCTCGGTCTGATGTGATGGTCTTAAGTACCCCATGTAAATAGACAATTTCTCTGAAAAATAACTTGGTTGTCGTTGTTGCATCTGCTGTCTTTTTGCATAGAAGGAAATGAGCCATCTTTGAGAACCGATCAACCACTACGAAGACGGAATCCATATTTCTGGGAGTTTTGGGCAAACCTAGCACGAAATCGATGGACAAGTCTTCCCAAATCACAGTAGGAACAGGTAGAGGCATGTAGAGGCCAATATTCTGGGTCTGTCCCTTGGTTGTCTGACAGATATAGCATCTATTCACAATAGTAGTCACATCCCTTCTTAATTTCGGCCAATAGTAACGCCCCTTGACTGCTTCAATTGTTTTGTCTCTTCCAAGGTGGTCGGTCAGTCCTCCCCCATGCAGATCCCTGATGATCTTTTCGCGGAGGGAGGTGCAAGGGATGCACAGTTGTTCCCCTTTCATAAGGAACCCATCATGAAGGTAAAAATCACCTGCTGGCTGTCGATTTATGCATTTTTCCCACGCCTGTTGGAAGTCCTCATCTTGGGCGTATAGGTCTTTCAAGCACTCAAAGCCCACAATTTCAACACTGAGAGTCTTGATGAGGGCAACACGTCTACTAAGAGCATCGGCCACTGTATTTTGCTACCCAGCCTTGTACATAATTTTGTATGGGAATTTATTAAGGAAAGCAGACCATCTTGTATGTAGATCACTCCTCAATTGTTTCTGCTTGCTGAGATGCTTAAGAGCTTGGTGGCCGGTGTAAAGAACAAATTCTTTTGCAATTAAATAATGTTCCCATGTTTTCAAGGCTCTAACTACAGCATAGAATTCCTTGTCATAGATGGACCACTTCTTCCTAGCTTCACATAACTTTTCACTAAAGAAGGCAATGGGTCTCTTCTCTTGGGACAATACAGCCCCTATGCCAACTCCACTGGCATCACATTCTACTTCAAATAGTTTATCAAAACTTGGTAAGGCAAGGACAGGAGCAGTACATAATTTTTCTTTTATGAGGGCAAAACTCTGCTCTTGTTCTTCTCCCACTGAAACT